CACCGCGGCGTCGACTTCGATCTGGCCGTGCGCAAGCACGACGCCGCGGCGTCCGGGGCGGCGAAGTTCGAGGGCCGCGGCGGCGCGCCGGGCGACCTGAGCGACGTGAGCGACCTCGAGGTCGAGGGCGACGACGCGCGGCGCCGCGCGAGCGCGAACGGCGCGGGCACGACCTGCGAGGCCTACCGGGGCACGGGCTTCTACGTGTCGCGCAAGAAGCTGCCGTCGACGAACGCCCACGGCGTGCTCCTCGCGGTGAAGAAGGCGAACTCGACGGCGTTCTACGTGATCACGCGGCCGAACACGGGCACGAGCCCCTTCGAGATGGCCGCCAACGAGCTCCGCGAGAAGTACCGGGCCCACGCGGGCACGCTCCTCGACGCGCCGGAGGCCGCGCGCGCGGAGCTGCGGGCCGAGTGGACCGCGCAGTACGACGTGTCCGCGAACCCGGGCCGCGGCTGCCGCTTCGTCGACCTGGGTCTGGTGTCCGGCGCCGTGCTGCCCTTCTGGCGCGCCCTCGAGAAGACGGTGACGGACCGCCGCGACGACATGACGCGCGCGGAGCAGAACCTGAAGGTCGTCCGCGTCGTCCTCGACGACGGCTCGAAGATCGTCGGCATCCGCTTCCCCAAGCCCGTGCTCGCGGATTTGAAGGCGCACCTCACGGCGGCGCACGCCGCGCGGCGGGACCACGCGCGGGACAAGGTCAAAGCGGCGCCGCCGCGGCCCGTCGACGCGAAGCTGCTCAAAGCCGCGAACGCGCCGCCGAAGACGATCAAGTCGTTCTTTAAGCCCCGCGACGACAACGCGCCGGCGCCCCCGGCGAAGCGCGCGTCGACGCAGCGGCCGGCGACGGGCGCGGCGGCGCCGGCGAAGCCCGCGGCGAAGCGCAAGCCCGAGAGCGCCGCGTTCGCGAGCTTCTTCAAGAAGCCCAAGGACGGCAAGGCGGCGGCGTCCGACGCCAAGCCGGCGTCCTCCAAGTTCTTCGCCAAGGTCGAGACGGCCCGCGCCAAGGTCGAGCCGGCCCGCGCCGCGGCCGACTCCGACGAGGACTGGGACCCGGACGCGGACGGCGACGCGCCGCGCGGCTCGTCGTCGTCGTCGTCGCGGAGGGCGTCGCCGCGCGGCTCGTCGTCGTCCGCGCCGGCCGCGCCCAAGCCCAAGGTCGAGTACTCCGAGTGCCCCTGCTGCACGGCCTTCATCGAGACGTCCAAGATCAACGCGCACCTCGACAACGACTGCCCGGGCTTTAGCTAAGGCTTAGCGTCCTCGCCCGCGGGCCGGTACGCGTGGTCGAGGGAGACGCCCTGGCGGAAGCCCCGCTTGTAGAGCGTGACCTCGCCCGCGCCGCCGTCGCAGTGGACCTCGACGGTCGGCTCGACGACGTCCCCGAACGCGGGCGACGCGGCGCCCGCGGCCGACGCGGTCGAGACCGGCGTCGCGTTGATGAGGTGCCGCGTCGACGACGCCCGCAGCGTCTCCGGGTCGTGCCGCGGCGGCGTCGCCGACGGCTCCCGCCGCGGCGGCGTCTGCCGGCGCGGCGGCGTCGACAGCGCGTCCTTGACCGCGCTAAAGTCGCGCGTCGCGGGCGGCGCCCGCGCGGACGAGGCGACCTCGGGCTCGGCCGGCGCGGCGATCGCGGGCTCGGCGGCCGCCGCCGCGGGCTCGACGGGCGCGCCGGCCGAGAAGGGCGCGCCGACCTTCTCGGCCGGTCCGAGCCCCATGTGCTTGGCGTACATGCGCGAGATCTCGTCCATCGTCGCATCCCGGCGCACGCGAAAGCTCGTGACCTTGCCGCTCTTCCGGTTCGTCGCTTTCACGGTGCGGTACGGGCCGTCGTCGGCCGCCACGTTCGCCGCCATGCGAAGAGGACGCCGCTAGCACACGCCGTTACGTTCGACCATCGCGCACGGGGCAGCCCCGTCCAAAACTGGGGAGGGGCTGCCGTCGGATGTTGCTTTTTTGGTGCCCGGAGCGTGATTCCATCGAGCACCGGGTCGGAGGTTCGCTTCCTTGGACTGCTGTGTTCTAATGGTAGGAATCACGACTTTAGCTCGTGCAGTCGGCGTTCGATTCGCTGCGGCAGAGAGAAGGCATCGGAAGAGACAGCCCCCGTAGCTCAGTTGGTTAGAGCGGTGGTCTTATGAGCCACAGGCCGTGGGTTCGAGCCCCTCCGGGAGCACGTCAGAGTTCTCGTTTTTTTAGTTCGGTTTACGTGTAAGAATGTGCTGCGTTGCGTCGTCTTACGTTATCCAAGTGCGCGGCTCGTCGATCGTCGGTCGATCGTCTCGCAGCCGCGGAGCGCCGTCGTCTTACGTTATCCAAGTGCGCGGCTCGTCGATCGTCTCGCGGCCGCGCGCTCCGCGGCTTCCACGCCGCGCGGTCATCGTCCGCGGCGCGCGCAGCGGCGCGCGCAGCGCCGTGTTCATCGTCCGCGGCCGCGCAGCTCCGCGCCGCACCCGCTTCACGCGCCGTAGAGGTCCGGGTACGCGTTGCAGTTCGCGACGCCGCACATGTTGACGAACGACTCCATCTTGAAAAACCCTTCGTCCCCCCAAGAGTAGTCCCAGGAGTTCTTGATGGTCCAGTAGGTCATGTTCGAGACGGGGTCCGTGCCGTAGCCGACGGCGAGGACCGCGTGGTTCACGTCCATGGCCCCGTTCTTGCACACCGTCGACGAGTAGACGCCCGACGCGTAGTCGCGGAAGTCGGACGCGACCTGGAACGCGACGGACACGGGCCCCTTCGTCGCCAGGTGGTACTTGAGGGACGCCTACGCGCGCGGGTGACGCGCGTCGCGCGCGGGGACGCCGCGAAGCAGACCTCGTCGCCCTTGGTGATGTTGACGCTCCCGCCGGGGACGACGACGCCGACGCCGGCGCTCGTCGGCAGGCCCGAAGACGACGCGGTCGCGTTGAAGGCGCAGGCCTGGTCGACGCCGCGGTAGGGGTAGGAGAACTCCGTCGAGAGGCCCCCCGCGTACTTGACGTATTCGAAGGCGTGGCTCGGCAGGCCGCCGGCGCAGCCCTTGGTGTCGAAGGCGCCCGCGCAGTCGACGAGCTGCTGCTCGCTGAGGCGCGGCGCGCGCCAGGCGTCCTGCTTGAGCGCGAGGTGCGCCTCGAGGGCACCGACGGTCGAGAACGTCCAGCAGGAGCCGCAGTGGCCCTGGTTCTTCACCTCGGAGACGACGCCGCGCGACCGCCAGTCGAGCGCGTCGGGCAGGTCCGCGGCCGCGCCCGCGCCGACGCCGCCCGTCGCCGAGCACTCCTGCGGGTCCATGAGCACGGCCGCCTCGAACTCGTCGTCGCTCATGTCGCTGAACTGGTTCAGGCCCGCGCGCCAGGACAGCGCCCGCGCGTTGTGCGCCGCGACGCGCCGCTTCGACGCCTCGAAGTGGGCCGAAGCGGCGTCGCGGTGGGCGTCCGACGCGTAGGTCTTGCCGAAGTGTTGCACGTAGGCATCGAAGCTGTCGAAGGCGGCCGCCGTCGCGGCCAGGGACGCGAGGAAGAAGGTCTTCATAGCTGTGGCAAATGCTTCACATTCAAGAAGTGTTCAAGGTTGAAGTCAACATCGGCGCTCTCCGAGGGCAGCCCGGACGACGATGTCGATCTCCTCATCGTCGTCGGATAATGAAGAGGAAGCGGCGCAGCCGGATGCGCCGGCCCACGCGCTGACCTACTTCTCGCACCGCGCCGCCCTGCGCTGCGACCTGACGCAGCTCCTCTTCGCTTTGTCGGACACGCCGCTCAAGATCGAGCGCGTGCTCTACCCCGAATTCCTGCAGCAAAAGGCCACGTACCCGGGCGGCCAGCTGCCGGTCCTGCGGCACGGGGGCCGGGCCGTGGGCCAGAGCAAGGCCATCGCGCGCTACGCGGCGACGCTCGGCGACCTCTACCCGTCGGACGCGTGGGACGCGGCCGAGGCCGACGCCCGCGTCCCGCGGCCGCGACGATGTTCGAGAGATTTGGGGTGGAGAAATCGTCACCGTCATGCGTGGTAGGCCGACGCGATCGTCGACCGGCTGGAGGATCTGGGCACGATCGCCTGGTATTTGTGCAAGACCGACGACGCGCGGGCGGCGGCGCTGGCGACGACGCTCGAAAGATTTGAAGTAATCGCGCCCGAGATCCAGGCGCGGCTCCGGGACAACTTCATGCGCGAGGCGTCGCCGTGGCTCGTCGGCGGCGACATGTCCCTGGCCGACGTCGCCTGGTACGCGGCGCTCCACGAGATCGCGACGATCCAGGCCGTCGGCGCGCCGCCCGCGGCGCCGGCGCCGGACGATGCTGTGCTGGCGGACCTCGACGCGCTCCTGCCCGTCGTCCGGAGCGCGCCGGACTGGCGCGCGCGCATGGAAGGCGTCCCCGGCGGCCGCCGCGCCTTCATCCGCGCGGCCGAGCCGCCGCCGCCGCCGCCGCCGGCCGCGGAGGCCGACGGGCCGACGGTCGTCCGCGTCGCGGCGATGGCGTCCGCCGCGGACGTCGCGCGCGCGCGCCTCGACCGCGCGTCGACGCTCGCGGCCGAGGGCGTCGCGCCCTACGCGGCCGTCGCGGCGGCGCTGCGCGCGCGGCGGGAGCGCGACGCGTCCTTCGTCGCGGGCCTGCTCCGCGGCAGGAAGCAGCTCCTCGACCTCTACGACCGCGTCGACGCCCTGCCGGCCGCGCGCCGCGTCGTCAAGACCTGGGGCGAGCCGGGCGCCTACCGGACCCACTTTTAACTCAGCGGGGTCGCCTGTGTCGAAGAAATTTCCCCTGCAACTTGAAGGCGTCTTCAAGGTGTTTGCCGGGCCGTACGTGTTCGAGCATCTTGTTCGAGCCGTGCACTCCTCCAGCATTGATGAGTGCTGAGCATTCCCACATGCGCGTCCTGCTCGCCGCCCTGATCGGCAGCGCGCGCGGGCTGCCCACCGCTGCGCCGACCGAGTCCTTGGGCGGCTGCCCCTTCCTGACCTCGAATAATGATTACTTTGGGGCGTCGCGCTGCGACGAGGCGAGCTACGACGAGGAGTGGGACGAGGCGAGCGAGTACGAACACGAGTGCTACATGCACGAGTGGATCGCGTCGTCGTGCGCGGAGCTCCGCTGCGACCCCGAGTCGGAGCGCCTCTGGCTCACGAAGAGGCACGTGCACGACATGCACCGGGAGAATTCGAACAACTGGTGGTCGTGGCGGACGGACGCGTGCATGGTCCTGTCGCCGGACGGGCGCTTCTACCGGGCGACGACGGGCTACGAGGCGACGCGCGAGGAGGGCTGGATGGACAAGGGCTCGTACCGGGACAGCACGGACGTCGACGCGAGCGGGCTCGCGGGCCTGAACGCGACGGACGCGTCGGTCCTGGCGTGGGGGCGGCGCGCGTACGCGGCGTGCGTCGAGCAGTGCGGCGGCTGCGACGCGACGGGTGCGGCCGTCGACCGCGTGCCCGCGGGCCTCGACGCGTTCTTCGCGGCGCCGTACCCGGCCGTCGACCGCCCCGCGCTCGACGACGCCGGCTGCTTCTCGGCGAGGGCGCTCCGCGGCGAGGACTGGCCCTTCGTCTCGACGGGCCACTGGGTCGTCATCTGCGTCATGGCCCTGGTCCTCGCGACGCCCTGGGTCCTGGGCGTCTGCGCGTCGCGGCGATGCTGCCCGTGGTACGGCTCGCTCCAGCGCGTCCGCAACGAGTTCGCCGACGCGTGCCCCTGCCTCGCTCGGTGTCTGCGCCTGCTCTGCGTGTCCGGCTGCGCGTCGTGCGCCCGGTGCTGCGGCGCGTGCCGCCGCCGCGTCCGCGGCTGCGTCCGCGCGCCGCCCCGGAAGGCGAGCGCGGACGTCGCGCCGGAGGAGGACGACGCGGCGGCGGCGGCCGGCGAAGCTCCGGCGGACGACGTCGTCCCGCTCGAGCCCCAGGCCGAGGACGCGCCCGGGCCGCGCGGCGCGGGATTCCGCGCGCGCGGCGCGTCCGTCGCGGGCCAGGCGCGGCTCGTGCTCTGGAAGATCTGGAAGACCAAGTCCCGGTCGCCGTCGACGGTCCTGTCGCAGCTCGTCTTCCCCGCGGCCTGGTTCGTCGTCGTCTGGCTCCTCTACGTGATCATGGCCAAGACGTTCCTCCCGAACCACCAGTGGAACAAGAAGCACTGGAACTACGCGGCCAAGGGCGGCGACATGCGCGACTACGAGGAGGGCGACATCCTGAGCCACGGGCTCCTCGAGGTCTACCTCTGCCAGTTCGCCTTCGTGCCGCTCATGCAGGCCGTCGTCGTCGCCGTCGTCGTCGAGCACCGGGCCAAGCTCGTCGAGTCGATGAAGATGGCCGGGCTCCGGCCGCTGGCCTACTGGGCCGCGACCTTTGCGGCCGAGGCGCTCGCAGTCGGCTTCGCCTGCGCGTTCCTCGTCGCCTGCGTCGCCTGCGGGGGCCTCTTCCGGCGCGCGGGCCACGCCGCGGACCCCTTCGGCACGCTCCTGGCGCTGCACTGGACCTACGTCGTCGCGCTCGCCGCCCAGTGCTTCGCGGTCACGACGCTCGTGACGTCGCCGACGGCCGCGGCCGTCTACGCGCTCGCCGCGCAGCTCGCGGCGACGGGCGCGTACCAGTCGCTCGTCGTCGAGACGACGGACGCGGGCAAGCGCGTCGTCCTCAGCCTCTTCGAGGCGTCGGAGTCCCGCCAGCTCGTCGCGGCGCTCCTGC